GACATTTTGAGTGATCACTGTGTGACAGCGACTCTGAGAGATATTAAACTTCCACCTTCTAAGCCCAGATTAATCAAAAAAGGGATCTGAAACGTTTTTGTGAACAGTCATTCCTCTGGGATCTATCCCACATTGACTGGCATCATATTCTATTAATTTATGACGTGAACTCCGCTTGGAACTATTTCCATAATAATTTCATTTATTTCCTGAACAAACATGCTCCTTTTCGTCAGTTCAAAATAAAGGGACGAGACAGCCCTGGTTTACTCCAGAGCTAGCTGACCTCCTGCACAGGAGAGATCATCTTTGGGCCGCAGCGAGAAAATCTGACTCAGACACTGATTGGTTGAGTTTTCGACAGATCAGGAATAAATGTACAACTGCTGTCAAAGCAGCAAAACGCAACTATTTCTTATCTCAGACCTCCAAAAATCTAAATGACCCTAACAGATTCTGGAAAACCATCAAATCTCTCTCAGGCACCCCCCAATCATCTGACCTCCCATCACAACTTCTCATTAACTCTGTTCCTGTGTCAAATAAGCACGAGATCCTGAACTGTTTCAACAAACATTCTGTTGCTTCTAGTTCTTTATTTGACACAGTTACTAATGGAAAATCAGCCACTTCACTTAATAACCAAACTTCTACAAACCACATCCCTCCTACAAGTCAACCTGCAGTTAATCACAGCTTCTCTTTTTCTCCATTCTCAGTCAGTGAGGTCAATAAACTGTTAAAAGATCTTGATCCTAAAAAATCTGCAGGTCCAGATGAACTTCCACCTTATTTCTTAAGGCTGGCTGCTCATATCATCACAGTCCCTGTGACCCACATCTTCAATCTCTCCATAAGACAAAACTCCATCCCAGACACTTGGAAAACAGCCTTTGTTCTTCCTTTGCTGAAGGGAGGTGACCCCACCTCACTGAACAACTATCGACCAATCTCTAAACTCTGCATTTTAGCCAAGGTTCTAGAAAAACTGATAAACTCTCAAATCAAAAATTACCTGGACTCATTTAACATCCTACCTCCACATCAATCTGGTTTCAGGAAACAACACAGCACAACCACTGCTTCACTGAAGGTTCTTAATGATGTTGTTGAAGCACTGGATGCTAAGGATTATTGTGCTGCACTTTTCTTAGACCTGTCTAAAGCTTTTGACACTGTGGATCATAACATCTTGTGTCATAAACTCTCAGAAATTGGTTTCTCAGAACACACCATTGGTTGGTTCTCTAACTATCTCTCAGACCGGAGGCAATGTGTTCAACATAATGGTACTTCCTCCAGTTATTTCACAGTCAACAATGGTGTACCTCAAGGCTCAGTCTTAGGACCCACCCTCTTTACAATCTACATACGTAATGTAGGTAAAAACATCCCTAATGCATCCATACATTTCTATGCTGATGACACAGTTGTTTATTGTCGAGCTAAAACAGTTGCTAAGGCTTTCCAGCTTTTGAAATCTGCATTCAACATCATCCAGACAGATTTGTTCCACCTCAAACTTGTCCTAAATGCCGAAAAAACCAAAGGTATGCTTTTTTCAAATAGGAAGTTGGTCCCAGCAGTTCTTCCTCAGATTTTATCCTCAAATGGTGTCCCGATTGAGTTTGTTGATTCCTATAAATATTTGGGTATCTTGGTCGACTCACATCTCTCTTTTAAACTTCATGTGGAAAACTTGGTAAAGAAACTGAAAGTTAAACTGGGTTTCTTTTTCAGAAACAGATCCTGTCTAACTCTGAATGCTAGAAAACGCCTTGTATCTGTGACTTTCCTTCCCTCCATTGATTATGGTGACATTATTTACATGAACGCTCCTACAAGAACCCTGCAGATGTTAGATGCTGTCTATCATGGTGCACTAAGATTCATAACTGGCTGTGATTATCGTACCCACCACTGCACCCTGTATTCACTGGTTAACTGGACATCATTAACTTCACGCAGACTCTCCCACTGGTACATTTTCATTTTTAAATCACTTCTTGGTCTGCTGCCTTCATACATCTCCTCCTACATGTCTCTGCGTGAGTGCAGCTACAGCATGCGCTCTCAGGACATTATTACCTGCAGTGTTCCCTCAGTGCGGACTGAACTAGGCAACAGGGCCTTCTTCTACTCTGCTCCTGTTTCCTGGAATATCTTACAAAAAGATTTGAAGCTCTCGACCTTGACCTCTCTAAGTGGCTTTAAGAATCTGTTGGACTCCTGGCAGGGTCCAATGCAGACGTGTTACTGTTTTTAGTTTCATACATTCACCTTACAATCTAGCTGTTTTTGTTACTTTTCTTTTTGTAGCCATCCTATTTGTTTAACAAAAAAAAGAAAAAAATCTGTATGACTTTTTATAACAGTTTATTGTTGTCGCTGTTGTCCATTGTTGTCATCTTTCTTTGTTGAAATCAGGTCTCTCTTGTAAATGAGTCCTCGAGGCTCAATGGGATCTACCTGTCTAAATAAAGGTTGAATGAATGAATGAAAAAACAGACTGGATCATTGCAGGTCTGGTGTTCCACCTCATCTCTCTACAGCTTCAGTGACTGGTCCAGAGCCTTTTGTAACCTAAAATTGAACAAAGACAGTGCACAAGTCAAAATAGGGTTACAGTGACTACAAATTGAAATTTGTTGGCCTTTTGGAATTTTTTTTAAATCAAAAACAAGATTTACAATTGAAACTAAGTCAAGAAAATGTGACCTTTGCAAACATAAATTACAGTAGCTCATTTTTTCTTTACTTATTTCACTTATCATATTTTATAATTATTTAATCAGCCTCACCAGGCAGAGACTACAAGATTGTATGTATCTTACCTGCTTTTTTGAAGTGTGTGACAAGGGTCTTTGTGTCCAAAGCTGTTTAACAGATTGCTTCCAGAACTAACAGCTTCTTGTGCCAGGTAGAAAAATAAAATAAAATTAAAGACAAACAAAAAGCTTAGAGCTACTTCTTGTGCCATGCTTTCTAAAACAGTTAATGAATAAAGGATTTACTTATGTAGGTAAACATAAATGTTTTAAAACCTGTTAAAATACACCAGAATGCAGGAAATAGCAGCTACTTTATTCAAAAAGTTATGGGGGAGGACCCACAGACCTCACACCAATATGTCCCCCCTACAATAATTCTAATGCTAATACACACTGTGTGGTTCAAGCCAAGAGCCGTTATCAACACTGGGGGGCTAAGGCCCCTAAAAAGTGCTTCTAGAATCGCCCCTGGTGTGAAGAAATGAACTGAGAAAAATCAACTCTTGGCCTAAAATGTAACACAACAACATAATTGTACACATCATATCTTAAATCTAAAACTAAAACAATTATTATAATATATATGTGTAGCAGTACAGAAATGTACCTGGCTAGGGAAATGTCACTTCCTGTTAGGTAAGTGGGCGAAGTACAAAAGGAGGCAGCAATGCCTCTTCTGGGACTTGGTTTCCTCTTCCTGCTCCCACTACATGGCTCTTAAACCGTGTGGGGTTTGGTTGTGGCTGAGCAGCAGATCGTGTCATGCGTGCTGTTCTGGCTTTTGTGGGATGAAGGCCAAGCTTGCTGCTTTCCTCCTCCTCCTCCTGTGTCTGTGCATGTGTGTGTCAGCAGGTCCTTTGCTGAGGTTGGGACCACTGCTGCTTTGTCTCTACAGAAGATCACGGTTTTGTCTCCACTGAGGTTACAACCGTTGTCCCTGTGGAAGATTACCAGTGTTCTGGCTCTGAAGGACCACTGCTGTTTGGGTTCTCACCACATGCAACCAGTCTTCCATATAAAAACTGGAATATTTTTACTGGAGAATGCTTTCACTAACAAGTTTGTTGTTGTACTGGCATGGCTTGCGGTCGACAGTAACTATTTACACAATAAAGTGATGTTCACGTTTTACTCGATTTCAGTATCCAGCAGGATGTCACAATATAAAAATAGGGATATTTTTACCGGAGAATGCGTGCACTTTAACCAGGAAGAGTTCAGCTTTTTTTTTTACATTTCAAACAATGATAGATAATGAATATTTTAACCTAAAACCTCACATAACAAAGCATAGGATAATTTTTAAATTAAAAGGGACAAGGTGGAGAAAAATGTGCTGTTTGAGTTTATTTACTGACGATAAACAAAGTCCGACTCCCCACAGCTCCTGCAGCTGAGACTAAACGTTTAAAGCAGCACGGCATTAACACAACTCTCGTTAAGTTCAGGGTTATTTGACACTTTCCTGCCCGTTCTGTGAGTTTAATAGTTACTTATTTCTTACCTTGCGTTGCAAACTATTTTCAGTTACTCGGTTTTTTGGTTGGAGACTTCGCTGCTCCTTCCACCCTCTCGGTGAAAAGCTTCGGCTGGAACAGTTGACTTCTGGGAAATGTAGTTCTTTTGACTTGTGTTAAAGTGAAGGCTTACTGAAAGAAAACTACAAAATAGTTGTGCCCTTTATTAGCATGTTTGTTGTTTTTGGTTTATTTTATATTTTTGGCCGGTTCTCGCTCCTGTCTCTTCCCGTTACCTTTCAGTCCGGTCACGTCCCGGTCACGTGAGTTATAATGAATCCTGCCGACCCACGGTACTCCCAGAAAAATGTCATCCTCTTGTTCTGGACTTAAACCTGACTGAGCGTTGTGCAATATTCATTAGTATCAGGATGATGTTATTTGTAGAATTATGTAATCTCCACATAAAGATCCACACATTTATGTTTCCACAACTTAAAAATAGCCAAAGCCTAAAACAGTCAATTAAACATACTTTTGCAAACAGTACAATGTACTGGTAGAATTTCACTAAATATTTTTTCAATTTTTTTTTCAATGAGAATTGGCCTTGTTCATTATGTCTAAGCTTATATTTTATTTAGGAAAATGCTGATTTTAAGCTTTTACATATAGTATGCACATGTGAGAACATTTCATTTGTAAATTAAGAGGAACTCTGACATCATTTTCTCTGTCTTGTTTACTCAAGGAGCCAGTGGAGAAAGGAGAAATGAAGACGTTATCTCTCCTTATTCTTCTTCTACTTGTTGCCAAAGGAGCATGTGATGATGTCAAATATATCTCCAAGAGAAATTCAGGTAGGATAAAAAATATTTGTGTGTCTAGACCTTCTTTGTATTTTTTATTTTCAAAATTCAAATTTTACTTAAATTGAAAATTCTCTGTCTCTTTGTTTGTTTTAGAATTGTTTTTATTATTGTTTATTTATTTTATTAACCTTTATTTAACCAGGCAAATCTCATTGAGATCACAGATCTCTTTTACAAGGGAAGCCTGCTGTTTTCATCACTCATACTCTTTTTGTAACTGTCTATTCTTTTTTGGGGAGGGGGTGGGTATGGTGGAAACTCCCTCATATGTTATTTTTGTTTTTTTTCAGTATTATTTATGTCTTTCTCATGTTATGCAGCCTTGCTCTTTTGTTAAAAAAAAATCTGTCAAATCTGTCGTTCATCAGTTTTTTTTTCCTTAGTAAATTTTCTCTGCTCCTGCGCTTTCTGACTTTTTGAAATCGCATGATTTAACACAATGGTTTGTACTGCTTCTTTGCTCTATCCAGCTCTGTTTTCTCAGCAAACACCGCTCTTCTGTTCTCAGCCAACACTTCTCTCCAAACTCTTAACTCTGGGCTCGGTGTACATGCCTGTCATTTTCTGCTGAAGGTGTGCAACGATCCGCCTGAATGCTGCTGTTACTGCCACCATGATTGTTTGTGTATACTGCAGGGTAGTTGATGACAGAACTGCTGATGTTTTTTTATTTACATTCAATTTATTGTGTCTCTCTGTTTAGTTTGATGTGAAGAGTGTCAGTGGGATACTGACGTATGGCATGCAGTGTCAGGGCATTTTGTTATACTCAATGGGGAATTAAGAATGTGGAACATGAAGCATGCATTCACTGCTGTTGCGTTATGAGAGCTGACTGCGGGTCGTCAGTCACTGCAGCTAGCTACGGCTAGCTGTGGGCCTCAGGCTTCCTCTTTGACCCTGGACCCTCAGCCAGCCCCCACCGCTTCCCCTGGTTCTATCTCTCTCAGAAGTGGCAACTGTTGGATTTAATTCTATCCACAACACAACTCATGCTAACAAATAAATCAATGAGACGTCAATTAAGTTTTATCAATTATATTAAAAAGGCAGGAGAAAATTACAGTTTTACTACGCTGGACTCTCCGGACTGTCACGCGTACACAGACCCAGAAGAGCCTCGAAGTCCTGTGTCATCACTAACTGATGGGGTCCTATGACTCCTCCTTTTGCAGAAGGGGAGCTCAGCCTATCAGTGTATGAGGGGGCGTGACTAAGTGTGGTCTTATGTGGACTGACGTGTTAGGAAAAACATGAGACGGTGCTTCAAAGCCTTTCTACGTGATATGGCAAGCAAATTAAAACTATTTGACTGATATTGAATTATCAGGGAGACTCTCTTGAGAGCTGCTGGCCCAGTTTAACCCAGTCAGAACCAGGTCATAATTTCATTATAATCCCATCTCTGAGCAGATCAAATCCATAGGACCAGTCTAAATAAGAAATATTGTAACACTGCTCAACAGTGGGATTCTGTTTTATGTTGCTTTTGTTTTTGCACAGAAAATAGAAAATTATGTTTTTTAAGATCAGGGTGCTATTATCAAGAAAAGGCCTTTAGTTGTCTTGCATTCCTAGAAATAATAAAAACTATAAATTACATGTAATTTTTTTTTGTAAAAAAATAAATAAAAGCATTTAGGCCAAGTGTGACTTCCTTCTGCTGTGATGTGGGGGTTCCTGACATTTTCTACAATAGGCCCTTTTCACAATGACGTCAGACAACTTCCTTTTTGACTCGATGCTGTGGATCATTACTTCCGGGTCTATTCTCCCTGAAGAGACCTGTCTGAAACAATGGAATTTCATTCCTTCAACCTTTATTTACAGAGGTTATATTACAAGATATAGCGCAAGGTAAGGTTAATAAAAATTATATTTATGTGTTTGTTAGCTGTGGTAACGTTATCCATCATTGCAGCAACTTTTGCCACAGTAGCTAAAATATACAACACGGGCTGTAAGTGCTCTAACGTTTAAAGGTTTACTAGCTATATTAACGTTAATAAAAACAGTATTTATGTGTTAGTTAACTGTGGTAACATTATCCATCATAATCAATTTACCATTCTGTAACTGTGTAAGGAAACAGCCTCCAATTGTAACATAAGCTAGCTAGCAACAACAGGTAGCTAAACTCTACACTGCTGCTGCCTGTCAGTGCTGTAACATTAAAATGTTTACTTTATCTATTAATGTAAAATCTCTGACATCTTCCAACACTGTTGTTTAGAATAGCATTTTAAATATTGAATTAAAAGCTATATGTCAAACCATTTCCATGTTCCGATGATTAATACTTTCTCTTTTTACTTTCTTCTTGTGCCCATCTTTCTCAGCAGCAGTAACTCAGCAAAGAGGAAACCCCGAAGACCCAGGCTCGTCTGAGGATTTTAGCAGAGAGGGCCATGCGAACCCAGCTAGCATTGAACGTTCAGACAACGTCCTCTGAATGTTGTCATGAACGTTCACTGAATGTCTGCAACGACGTCTGCCGAACGTCAAAATGAAACGCCATTAAACGTCCAGCAGACTTTCTAGCCAACATCCAGCAGACGTTCATGACAACGTTCAGTGAACGTTCGTGACAACATCCTCTGAACGTTGTCATGAACGTTCACTGAACGTCTGCAACGACGTCTGCCGAACATCAAAATGAAACAACATTAAACATCCAGCAGACGTTCAAGACAATGTTCAGTTCACGTTCAAGACTACGTTCAGTGAACGTTCAAGACAATGTTCAGTGCACATTCGTGACAACGTTTGAACGTCCTCTGAACGTTGTCTTGAATGTTCACTGAACGTTGTCTTGAACGTCCTCTGAACATTGTCTTGAACGTCCTCTGAATGTTGTCATGAACGTCCACTGAACATTGTCATGAACGTCCTCTGAACGTTGTCATGAACGTCCACTGAACATTGTCATGAACGTCCTCTGAACATTGTCATGAGTGTACTCTGAACGTTGTCATGAATGTCCTCTGAACATTGTCATGAACGTCCTCTGAACGTTGTCATGAACGTCCACTGAACATTGTCATGAACGTCCACTGAACGTTGTCTTGAACGTCCTCTGAACGTTGTCATGAACGTCCACTGAACGTTGTCTTGAATGTCCTCTGAACGTTGTCTTGAATGTTCACTGAACGTTGTTTTGAACGTCCTCTGAACGTTGTCTTGAACGTCCTCTGAACGTTGTCATGAACGTCCACTGAACGTTGTCATGAACGTCCACTGAACGTTGTCTTGAACGTCCACTGAACGTTGTCTTGAATGTCCTCTGAACGTTGTCATGAACGTCCACTGAACGTTGTCATGAACATCCTCTGAAGGTTGTCATGAACGTCCACTGAACGTTGTCTTGAATGTCCTCTGAACGTTGTCATGAACGTTCACCGAACGTTGTCATGAACGTTCATTGAACGTCTGAAGTGACGTTTGCCGAACGTCAAAATGAAACACCATTAAACGTCCAGCAGACGTTCGTTGACAATGTTCACCAAACATCATTAAATGTTCGGCGGACTTTCAGCTAACATTCACAGTATGTCAAAATAAAATGCTATACAGTTCTGCTAGGTCTGTGGAAATACTAATGGCAGCAATTTTCATTGGAATGCAAGGTTTTCTTGTGAAACAGTTGTCTTCCATTTCCTAGGGAGATTAATCCAATCTTGTAACAAAATGGAAAATTGATTACAACCACTTAAAACACTTGGCAAGGAATTGATTAATCTTACAGTATTAACATTAAAGACCAAGACAAAATATGATAAAGAATCACATTTATTCTACTATACGTATAAAAAGACATTAAAAAAGTGTTCCTTAGACTAAAGTAGAATGGTACCAATTTTAATAGTGGGTTTTCAGAAAACACTTTTATTGTTCTAGCTTCCCACTTATTGCATAATAACACACATCTCACAATAGCAAATAAAAAAAAATTAATCAAGGCATCTTTCCCTATTTCTGTTGAGACGTGTTGTGTATGCAAGTGGGACTCGGTTCCATGATGATGGTCCCTATATCTCTGTGTCTTTCCCTCTCTCTTTGTGTTTTCCTATGCTGGGTAAGGGTCAACAGTCACCAAGTCTGAGGTAAAAAATAAGACACCCCTTGTCCCCTCTTAAGAAAAAAAAAATTGCAAGAATAAAAAATGTTGCAAGATCTTCTAAAAAATATTCCATTTTACATAGCTTCATCCTCATTGGCACCGTCATTTCCCACAGCTGCAGCTTTGGTAGCAGAATTGTCTTTGCGACCCTTTGAATGTTTTAACCAGTCTCCCACCACCGTCTGGATTTCTGTATCCATCAGCGTTTCTGATCCCTGGTTCTTTTGTACAGCCCCTGAAAAATAGATACAAAATAATGATAACACTTTACAATAAGGTACACAAAATTTGATTAACTACTAGAGAACACCTCGGGAACAAATCAGGAGTTAATATGTAGTTAACCAGTACTTACTGGGAAACACACAGCCCAGCCTTATTAGGGGACTGCTGGTTAGTTACATGTGAAATGAAGAGGAACTAATCAGGAACTAATGGGTAGTTAACATGGAAACCAAAGAGAAACAAATCAGGAGCTAATAGGTAGATAACCAGTACTTACTGGGGAACACACAGCCAAGCCTTATTAAGGGACTACTTGTTAGTTACCTAGTAAATTAAGAGGAACTAATCAAGAACTAATGGGTAGTTATCAAGTAAACTAAACAGGAACGAATCAGGAGCTAATGGTTAATAAAATCAGTAATCACTAGGAAACAGGTTTTTGACAATTATGAGCTGTGACCTCACTGGTGCAGGGTTTATTCAGAACCCACCTGGATAATTTCTCCTCTGTTTCTGTGGTAACAAACCAGTACTCCCCTAATTAGGCTTGGCTGTGTGTTCCTTAGTAAGCACTGGTTAACTACCTATTAGCTTCTGATTCATTCTTCTTTGGTTTCCTTGGTAACTACCCATTAGTTCTTCA